CACTGTGGAAGCTGTACATGATTTCACTTGCCACCTCCCCCCGACCCCACCGAGCCCCAGGTCTATGGCATTTACTGACAATATCCCTGGTTGAATCTTCACCTACTCATTTTTTCTTTTCCAACTTTTTTTCATTTTCTTGCATGGAAATTTATAAGTTGCCTCCAAATTTTAGAGATAAGGTATAAATATATAAAATGAAACTTAGCACTATTTTTTTTTTTAGTGTATTGTTTTGGTTTCTTACCAAACAAGAAGGAATATCTTGAGGACAGGAATTTAGATTTAATGATGATAATAAAAATTACTTTTTAAGAATTAAAAAAATTTTTCCTAAAATTTGTCAGCACAGCAACTCAAGTAATCTTATTCATTTCCTGCTTAGGAATTGGGTGGGATACAACTCTTCAGATTTTATCTCTAGCGGGAAGTTGGGTTTATCTTCCTGTCTTGTGGCTTTCCAGAGGCTCAGTCCTGGATGGTTCCTATGAATGTGTTATATACTAGGGGAGATCAAACAACTGATGTGATTTGTTTTGAATGGTAGCGTCAATAAGGTGGACATAGCTACAGGCTTACTATGTTTTAATGATCAAGCAGCCAAAATAAAGGTGTTTTTAAAGGTGTGTAGTACCAGAAGATAAGGTTATGTTTGGGTAACAGCCCCGTTTAGAAAGCTTAAGTGGGCTTCCCTGGTGGTGCAGTGGTTGAGAGTCCGCCTGCCGATGCAGGGGACACGGGTTCGTGCCCCAGTCCGGGAAGATCCCACATGCCGCGGAGCGGCTGGGCCCGTGAGCCATGGCCGCTGAGCCTGCGCGTCTGGAGCCTGTGCTCCGCAAGGGGAGAGGCCACAACAGTGAGAGGCCCCCGTACAAAAAAAAAAAAAAAAAAAAAAAGCTTAAGAAAGGAACTAGCATCATCACCCCTGGCCCTATCATGCTTTTTCTCCTCTCACATGTTTTCCATTACTTCCTAGTGAGGAAGCATGGAGGGTTCCTGTTTAAGGCCCAATCTTCTATTCGTGCCTTTCCCAAGAACCTAGTGCTGTGGTACTCTCTCATCTATTAGTGCATCATCCATATTGCCCTCTCTCCCAGATCATTCCTTTATTATCTCCCATCTCAAAGCCCTCTCTTGATCTCATGTCCCTCTCCTGCTTGCTACTCCATTTTTCTCCCCCCCCACCCCAGCCTGTCTCCACAAAACCTCAAATTCACTGCAACTGCTTCCTTACCTCTTGTATTTTTCTTTTACTCTAATCAGCTTTTCTTCTCCATCATTCCACTGAAGTGGCTCTTATTGAAGTCACAGTCGCCTATTCTTCCTCATCTTACTAGGCCTTTCAGCAGCCAGCGCTGACACTGAGCGCTGTCTCGTTGACCCTTTTGTCCTAAGGTTCCCACAAGCTCACACTTACCTGGGGAGGGCCCCAGGGTGCAGTCATTAATCAGCCTCTCTGTCTCCAGTCTCTCCCTAAGTGCTTTCATCCATCTTTATGGCCTCGGCTATCATCTCTTTTAATTATTTAATGTTTTATGTAGATAATACATTCACTTATTTCATGTGATATATGAAGTTATAGTGAAGTTTTATTTCCACCTGCCCCATCCCAACTCGTAACCACATATTAGTTACTTGTATATCCTTACAGAGTGTCCATATACAAAAGTAGCAATGTATGAATATACTTTCTCCTCAGTTTACATGAAAGAACACTATAAACATTGTTCCATACCTTTTTCCTACTATACAATATATACTGGAGATTTTTACATATCAGTACACAGAAAGAGTCCATTCTTCTTTACATTTGTATAATCAGAATATTCTATTGCGTGGCTATACCATAATTATCCAACTATCCTCCTATTGATGACCACATAGGTAGTTTTCCATCATTTGCTATTACCAGTGATTAACTTTGTACACGTAAGTATGTCTATGGAAATTTGGGTCCATGTGAACAAGTTGTTCCCCACAGGAGTTGAATCAATTTGCACTTCCACCAGCAATGCATCAGAGAGCTTCTTTTCCCATAGCTTTGTCTGTGAACACAGTGACAAACTTGTATTTTGGCCAGTGTGACCGATTCTATTTTTTACCTGTATGGTTTTAATGAATAGTTCTCTTCTGAGTGACCTTAAACACCTTCCCGTATGTTTAAGGGCTATTTGCATTTCTTCTTCTGTGAATTATCTACAAATATCTCTTGCTTATTTTTCTTTTGTGTTAGTGGTCTATTTCTTATGGATTTGTAGAAGCTCTCTATATTAGGAAGATTAGTTCTTTGTTATAAGAGTAGCCAATTTTTTTTTAACACTTTGTCATTTGTATTTTTACTTTCACTTTCACATCATGGTTTTGTTTCTCAGCTATGCAGAGAGCTTTTTTTTCTGTTTAGTTTTTTTTTTTTTTTTTTTCTTTGCGGTACGCGGGCCTCTCACTGCTGTGGCCTCTCCCGTTGCGGAGCACAGGCTCCGGATGCGCAGGCTCAGCGGCCAGGGCTCACGGGCCCAGCCGCTCCACGGCATGTGGGATCTTCCCAGACCAGAGCACGAACCCGCGTCCCCTACATCGGCAGGCGGACTCTTAACCACTGCGCCACCAGGGAAGCCCTTCTGTGTAGTTTATTTCATCAATCTCATGGCGGAGGGATGGCTGAGAGGCCCTCCATCTTGACCTTGCATCATTAGCCAATGAACTGAGTACCTGGAAAAGGAGGCTCTGTCCCCCTTTCCACACAGCCAGGCAGGGAGTCAGAGTGGTGGGTTGGGAGGCACTGTTTAGTTATTTTTAAACTTTGGTCATTTTCCAGAGCCATCTCCCAATCATCAACATTCTGGACGATGCCCTGGAGTCTGAGGGTTGTCAGTGCCAGGTGTGAGGGTGCTAGTGCCAGGCTAGAAACTGCCCCCCAGGGACGCAGTGGCCCCCAACCCGTCAAACTGGGTGGGCAGGGTGCCTGGTGAGGAACAATGCAGCTCCAATCCACTGATGCTGCAAAGGAGCGAGGTCTGGAACGTGACTCCAGCTGAAGCTTCTGGAAGGTCAGTGTGGGTGCATTCAGAGTTCAAATTCTCAATGTCCCCCAATCCTGGCCTGGGGCTGGATGAGATTGGAGGGCTGGCCTTAAGCAAGCTAGAGCGAGTAGAAGGTACATCACGAGCTCTCCCGTGGATGTCTCCCTTCAGTTCAAAGCCTTATCTCAAACAGCCTCTATCCCTAGGACATGGCCCTGGGGACATAGCCCGAGCACCTGCGTGGCCTCTGTTCCTCAGGGGTGACCTTGCTCGCTCTTCCTCAGAGCTCTGGGAATTTTCTCAGCCTACTTAGGAGAAGCTGTCTTGACTCTTCCAGTCATGAACAGAGTTCCCCCACCCCCTCCTGGGACTGGAACTCTGTTTTCCAAAAGCTAGAAGATTGCTGAGTAGGCACGGGGCAAAGGGCTCAGCTGCTTTTCCCTCAGGGCAGAGTCCCCTTTAGCTCCACTCTCACTGGCTTCTGCGAGAGACGTTCCGATGGGCTTATTTATTTATGACTGAGATCCAGATGATGAGGCGACATGAGAAACATACAAAGGCTCCATAAAATTTAGCAAAGACTTGGGCAGCAGCCCATGTGGAATCCATTTGTTTTTCTATTTAAAAAGGGGTGGGGGAAAGCCTTCATTCCATAGCCGCAAAGGAACTTACACCATCTGCTCATCTCCCAGCCAAGGAATACAATTCCAGGAAGCAGGAGAAGGGAGGCTGATCAGTGATGGCTGTCAGCTGTGAACAGCTGTTTATTCTCAATGACTATTTCCACGTAGACCCATTGCAGGGATCTGCTGTCCTTTACACGGCAGAGACGAAACAAAACCCACCCCTTCCTCCGCCCTTTGACACGCGGTGACCCTCGCTCAGTCCTGCCTGGGACTCGATGACAAGCCCAGGGGCAAAGAAAAGCTGGGTCTCAACGGACTCTGACTTACCTCACAGGGAGTCTGTCCCCGCAAGGCAAGAAAACAGCCTTCAGTTGTTCCAGGGACTAAGGTTTCACTCTTCCTGTTGCCAGGAACTGAGCTTCTGAGTAGCAACTGTCCGCGTCCCACACAAATAGCTTCGTCTGGATTTGCAGCAAGATCTGGGCTGGGGGGCTTTGCTATGAATTCTAACCCTGTGATTTCAGCACATGTCCTCTCGATGTTGTAAAAGCGTGTGTGTGTGTGTGTGTGTGTGACTAGAATCACTTCTGGACAGGAAGTTATACAGGCAAAAAAACAAGCAAAACAAAACAACCCCAAAACAAACAAAAAAGATGACGCTTTGCTGTGAGTACAAAGGAGCCACAGCTCAGCATGACGGGTCCTTCCAGAGAGATAAGGAACTGGACAGCAAAAGTCACACGCAGCCCAAGCCTCAGAGAGGTCGAGGTGAAATGGAAACTTCCTGTTTATTTTAGTCCTTTAAAGCCCCGGGGGCGGGGATTTAAACCATGGCTGTGGCACTGGGAAGGAATCAGAACAGCTAGATCAGTCCAGAAAATTGTGGCGTTGCCTGGCTCATCGACCACGCCCTCGCGTTCCCACCTGAGGACAAAACGGAGATAATAGCATAATCACGCAAAGGAGTGACCCAGAACTTGCACCATATGCTTTCTTTTTTCATTTTTTAAAAAAAATTTATATATTTTAAAAATTCTTGGCTGCGTTGGGTCTTCGTTGCTGCGCGCGGGCTTTCTCTAGCTGCGGCGAGCGGGGGCTACTCTTCGTTGCGGTGCGCGGGCTTCTTATTTCTGTGGCTTCCCTTGTTGCGGAGCACGGGCTCTAGGCGCGCATGGGCTTCAGTAGTTGTGGCTCGTGGGCTCTGGAGCACAGACTCAGTAGCTGTGGCACACGGGCTTAGTTGCTCCGTGGCATGTGGGATCTTCCCGGACCAGGGCTCGAACCCGTGTCCTCTAGTATTGGCAGGTGGATTCTTAACCACTGGGCCACCAGGGAAGTCCCCCGTATGCTTTCGATTAACCTAATTTAACCTTACAGCGTCCTTCTTGGGGTGGGGGTGGGGATGGGGAGCAGATACCATCCTCATTTTTTTTTTTTTTTACATAATAGAGGCCCCCCAGGAGGCTAAGTGACCCAATCACACACAAACAGCAACTCAAAGGCTGAGTCGGGAACTGGCTTGGTCTCAGGCCCTCCCCCTAGCCCAGCTACTTCCTCCTAAGTATCTCTAAGCACTCAGTTTCTTGGGCCTTTAGTTTTAGCACCTGGGCTGCAATGCTCACGCTCATAGTCTCGCCATTTCCACCATCCGCACTTGGAAGTGAAACCGCACACCCCAGATTGGGATTCGAACCCACAGTCTCTGGCTTAGTGGGGGACTCGAACCCACAGTCTCCCAGCTGAAACCGCACACCTCATCTCAGGACTTAATGAAGTTCAGATTCTTTAGGTCTCCGCACAGGAGGAATTCAGCGAGAGGCAAAGTGATAGGTAAGTAGATTTATTGAGAGAGATACGTACTCACTCCATAGACAGCGTGTGGGCCATCTTGGAAAGGGAGAGGCCTGGGGGTTGTGGAGGTGGTTAGTTTTTGTTTGTTTGTTTGTTTTTGCGGTACGCGGGCCTCTCACTGTTGTGGCCTCTCCCGTTGCGGAGCACAGGCTCCGGACGCACAGGCTCAGCGGCCATGGCTCACGGGCCCAGCCGCTCCGCGGCATGTGGGATCCTCCCAGACCGGGGCACGAACCTGTGTCCCCTGCATCGGCAGGCGGACTCTCAACCACTGCGCCACCGGGGAAGCTCGAGGTGGTTAGTTTTTATGGGCTGTGTAATTTCATAGGCTAACGAGTGGATTATTCCAACTATTTGGGGGAAGTGGTGGGGATTTCCAGGATTTGGCCACCACCCACTTTTTGGCCTTTTATGATCAGCCTCGGAACTGTCACGGCGCCTGTGGGTGTGTCATTCAGCATACGCTAATGTATTACAATGAGGGTATAATGGGGCTCAAAGTCCACTGGAAGTTGAATCTTCCACCATTTTGGACCTAGCCGGTTCTAACCAGTTTATGTCGTATCCTAACCGGTTATGTCATTCTCTTAAAGGTTGTGCCCTGCCCTATTCCCCCCTGTCTCAGAAGGTCATCCAACCCAGGGTCACCCAACACCTCAGAGTAGTCCCAGCTAATTCTCAGGACGTACACAAGCAAGGGCTTCCAGAATTTAGCACAGGGATGCTCAAACTGTGTCATACCTGTGGAGCATGTTAAAAATACATACGGCAAGGATGTGGAGAAACTGGAACCCTCATTCATTGCTGGTGGGATTGTTCTATGGTGCAGTTGCTGGGGAAAACACTTTGGTGGTTCCTCAAAAGGTTAAACAGAGAGTTATCCCACGACCCAGCAATTCTACTACTAGGTATCTACCCACAAGAAGTGAAAACTTATGTACACACAAAAATTTGTACACGAATGTTCACAGCAGCATTATTCATAATACTGTAGTCAAAAAGTGGAAACAGGGCTTCCCTGGGAAGATCCCACATGCCGTGGAGTGGCTGGGCCCGTGAGCCATGGCCGCTGAGCCTGCGCGTCCGGAGCCTGTGCTCTGCAACGGGAGAGGCCACAACAGTGAGAGGCCCGCGTACCGCAAAAAAAAAAAAAAAAAAGAAAGTGGAAACAGCCGAAATATCCAGCAAAAGACAAATGGAAACAAAACGTGGTCTATCCCTACAGTGGACTATCATCCAGCAATTTAAAGGCATGAAGTACTAACACCTGCTACAACATAGATGCGCCTTAAAAACATTATGCTGAGTGCAGAAGCCAGTCACAGAGGACCACATATCATATGATTTTATTTAAAGGAAATTTCCAGATTAAGCAAATCCATAGAGACAGAAAGTGGCTTAGTGGTTGCCAGGGGCTGGAGGAAGGTGGAGGATGGCAGTGACTACTAATGGGTATGGAATTTCCTTTGTGGGTGATGAAAATGTTCTAAAATTAGCTAGTGGTGATACTTGCAAAACTGTGAATATACTGAAAACCACTGACTTGTATACTTTAAAAGGGTGAATTTTCTCATCACAAGGAAAAAATTTTTTCTTTTTCTTTGTATCTTAAACTTATTCACTAAACTTATGTAAGCCATAAACTTATGCTATAGACCTTAAACTTATACAGTGCTGTATGTCAACCGTATCTCACTAAAGCTGGAAGAGAAAAAAGGGTGAATTTTATGGTATGTAAACTAGATCCCTGTTAAGCTATTACCAAAAAAACACATACACCTGGGCCTACCTTCAGAGATTCTGCTTTAGCAAGTCTGAGGTGGGAGCTGGCCAGCTGCCTTTTTAGTAAAGTACCCTAAACGTTGGGGAGAGAGTGGTTTACGAGGAAATGTATGACACTGAAACCGCACAATTCAGACTGGGACTTGAACCCAGCCAAAACCCAGATTGGGACTTGAACCCACTGCCTTTTTTTGGCCATGCTGCACGGCTTGTGGGCTCTTAGTTCCCTGACCAGGGATTGAACCCAGGCCCTTGGCAGTGACAGCAAGGTGTCCTAACCACTGGACCACCAGGGAATTCCCCCCACTATCTTTTTTTTTTTGGCTGCGTTGGGTCTTCGTTGCTGCCTGCGGGCTTTCTCTAGTTGCGGCGAGTGGGGGCTACTCTTCGTTGTGGTGCAAGGGCTTCTCACTGCGGTGGCTTCTCTTGTTGCGGAGCATGGGCTCTAGGTGCGTGGGGCTTCAGTAGTTGTGGCTCGTGGGCTCTAGAGTGCTGCCTCAGTAGTTGTGGCACACGGGCTTAGTTACTCCGCGGCATGTGGGATCTTCCCGGACCAGGGCTTGAACCCGTGTCCCCTGCATTGGCAGGCAGATTGTTAACCACTGCTCCCCCAGGGAAGTTCCCCCTCACTCCCTGCTATCTTTTAATTGAGATCACACACCTGGTCTCAGGACTTAATGAAACTCAGGTTCTTGATGTCTCGTTACAGAAAGAATTCAGTGAGAGACAAAGTGATAGGTAAGAAGTGGATTTATTTAGAGATATACACATTCCATAGACAGAATGCAGTCCCTCTCAAAAGGCAAGAACGGCCTTGGGATAAACACACCCCACACACCGAGTGTGGGCCATCTCAGAAGGCGAGAGGCCCTGAAATATGGGGTGGTTAGTTCTTATGGGCTGGGTAATTTCACAGGCTAATGAGTGGGGGGATTATTCCAACTATTTGGAGGAAGGGGCGGGGATTTCCAGGAATTGGGCTACTGCCCAGTTTTTGGCCTTTTATGGTCAGCCTCGGAACTGTCATGGCGCCTGTGGGTGTGTTATTTAGCATATGCTAATGCATTACAATGAGCGTATAATGAGGCTCAAGGTCCACTAGAAGTTGAATCTTCTGCCATCTTGGTTCTAGTTGGTTCTAATCAGTTTTTGTCATGTCCTATGGCTATGTCATTGTTTTAAAGGTTATGCCCTGCCCCCTTCCCTCCTGTTTCAACATCACTCACATCCCTGAGGAGCTCACAGTCACACTGGGGAAACATAGGGGTCTCTTAGGGGACAATTCAGGGTCAAACTGTGTGGTCTTAGAGAAGAGTACAGTTGTGGAGAGAGAGGACCGTTGTGGGTCAGGGTGGCCTGGGAGGGGTGGGAGAACTGAGCAGAGCCTTAGAGGAGAGACAGGATTATGCAGACAGAAGGATGCATTCTAGGTGGGAGACTGGGCCTGGGAATGTGCATGGCATGTGCTGGGAGTGATTGGGGGTCTGCGCAGACTGACCGGACGGTCAAATTGGGGAAGTTGGGGAAGGCAGTTTTGCAGGAGTGGGCTGAGGTCCTCCCTGAATGCCAGGATGCATTGCAGCTGAAGATGTGGACCCAGAGATGATTATAATGATGTGAAGAAAGCAGGGTTTTAGGAGGAATAGCCTGGCTTTTGTGTAAAAATGTACTGTAAGCAAGGAGTGGCAGTAAAAGGCCAACTGAGAAGCCGGGGCAGGAATCAAGAAATGAAATGGTGGGGTTCTAGGCCTGGGGCTTGATGGGGGACTGCAGAGGAAAGAGCAAAGTCAGAGTTTAAAGGGGAAATTAGAACGAGGTTGGCTAATGGAGAATGAAGAAAAAGAATCAGAGGGAACGCTATACAATCATGGACCCACAGCTGTTTCCCGAGTGAGACCAGGACCTGGTTTAAATCTCAGCTCTGCCACTATTGGCTGTGTGACTTGGGCAACTCACATGACCTCTCTGTGCTTTAATATTTCCAACAGTAAAATTCAAATAATAGTAACTGCCACATAGGTTGTCATGAGGTGTAACTGGGAAAATCCACTTGAAACAGGGAACACTGGGGAATTCGAAATGGGCTTTTCTGTCTTGCATTTCTACAGGCCACCTTCTCCCTGGGCAGCCTGAGGAGCCATTTGCTTGGGAGTGAGGAACGTTTTCCTAGGTTTCTTGCGAGAATCGGAGAGAATTTCTTGGAGAACTTAGATCACAGTATTTCTTCCAGGATCGACAGACAGTACCCCTTCTACCATCGATGGGGCCACGGGACTTGTCTTTGAGGAGGAGGATATGATTTAGAGGAAGTGAAAACCCAGCCTTTGTCCCTTCTGGTCACCAGGAATTGTGGGAAGAAACATAGAGGCAGGGCCAGGAGAGGTGTGGCAGTGGGTCCCGAGGTCACTTTTCTGGGCTTCTGGCCAGGAAAGGGTGGAAAGTTGGAGAAATTGAAAGGGAAGCCAGAAGCAGGAGGCCTTTGACCAGATTCACCTTTGGTACCTTAAGAGGAGACTGGAGGTCACATGGGGAAGTCTTGGAGGTGCAGCATGGTGAGATAGAAGGGCAGGGCTGTAGCCATCCAGGAGTGTCCCATGGTGCTGCATGGCCTGGACAGAAATTTTTGTTCTGGCTGGATTCAGGCTAAGAAGAGGGAGTCAGGCTATAGGTAGAAATTTAGGAGTCCACATCCATTGAGCCCCTAGAAAGTTCTGCCCTGGGAAATAGAGAGTGGTGCAAAGGTCAATTACAGTTTGAGCTCTCAGAAAGTGATCCTTGCAAACAAGCTTGGTGAGCTCACTGACGAACAGGGCGGGGAGACGCATAAATTAGGGAAGATGAGGACAGAAGGCTGGAAGCACCCCCAGCTAAGGGGAGGACGAAAGACAGTCACCGAAGAGGCCAGCAGTGTAGCAGGAAAGCTGGAAAAGTACTGTGTCAAAGAGGCCAGAGACGGCCAGGGCTTCAGTTCCATGAGTGCTCAGGGCCCCCCCCACTGCACTGGGCGGCCAAGTGAGGCTAATCTCTGTGGAAAGAGTTGCATTCCCTGCATCCTTCTCATAGTCATGCTTGCCTTACATTTTAGTGTGGGCGGGCTGAATTGTCCAGGCCTTGAGTGTACTTTTCTGGGGGAACCAGAGCGCTCTTGTTGGATCCCAGGCTGACAGGAAAGCATCCTGGAGGCCACCCAGGCCCCT